GCTACTGTGTTGATCCACTTTGTCAAAGGTCTACCGCTTTTCCACTGCTAAGGATGCTGTAAAGAGGCCCTTGAGAAGAAACCCTCAACAAACGGATCTCTTAATTCCCTTTTATTACCATTTATTTTATTCCTATTATTGCCATTTCTTTCTGCTGCAGTTTCTCTGTTCAATTTATGGTGTGGTTTCTGTCTCTGGGATGGATTCTAACTAATTAAGTGGGGGCACACCCACCGCCACCCTAACTCCCCAATTACTGCCAGATCAATTCAGCCTCACGTGACCCATGTATGCAGAGAAAGACAGCGCTCCACGGGACGTCAAGGCTGTGCCCTTCAGCAGCAGCTTGCCAGACCTTTCTTCCAAGCCACCACCGATGGCTTTAAACTATTGACCTTTTGGTTAATAGTCAAGCACTTGAACATGAGTGCCACTTAGGGACTCCAATCCAGTGGTCAAACTCACTGCCATCGAGCTGATGCTGACTCCTAGCTAGCCTATGGCAATCACTCCATAAATGATTAATGAGCAGGTGTGTTAGCAATCAAGAGAAGAAAGATGCATCCCTCGCAACTTCTTGAGAGCTGGTATGGGTGGCTCTCTGCCCTACCAAATTCACCCCAGGTATTCAGGTTGCCTGGAAGTTAGACATTTTCAAACAAGCCATAAACCGGCCTCTAGCCTTTGCCTCAATCAACTAGGACATGACAGAGTCTGAGAGCACCAGGAAGCCTGGATAGAAACCAGTCCCCTCTCATTCGCCTGGTCTGTACAACTGTCCCGGATTGTCAGTTTTCTTCTGCATCAGAAATAACCTGGCCAGTCCTGCAGCAGACAGCGCTTCCAGACCAGCGTCAGTGTTCCTACGACAGGTGTTCCATTTCGAACAGGCCAACAATTTTACTGTTCATTTCCACAGGAAATGACTGAACTTTTCACGCACTTGACATTACCAGGCTGTGAACAGTCCTGTTTCTCAGGTCCCCACAAACAAGCTTGTATATAGTCACATGCCTCTACCGTCTCTCGGAGAACCAGGTGAGTTGGCTGAGGCACAGCTGCAGAGTAACCGCTTACAACTCTATGCAGCTCTGAAGCAGGCTTTGGAAAAACCAAGACAGGAACATACGAAACAAGGAAATCATAATGAAGTGTGTTTCTGTAACAATTTGCACAAATTGCCTTTGTACATCTACACCCCCCCCACACACACACACACACAATCACACTCTAGCCAAGTGAACCAAATCCATACATGGCACATCGTTCTAAACAGGGAGTGCTCGACCTTCATCACGGCACATAGAAAAGCACTCTAAGGATGTGGGGAGGTTTTGCTTGTTTGTGTAATAAGACTGACGCCAATGTTTAGTTGCTGAAGGTGCAAATTTAGCCCATATGACAGTGGGAAATGGAAAGGGAAGGAACTAATTTGAGGAAAACCTCCTCCGCACATCACAAATGTTTTCAGACACATTAGCGGAGCCCCCAGAGCAAGGTCCTGCAGTATCTGCATTTTATAAAGCAGACACGCTGTCCGGCTCCGGGCTGTGCATGACCTGGTTTCTCTATCTAACTGTATAACCGGAGTGGACAGCTAGCCGCGTAGTATGTCATGGTCACTATGTCACCCACAATGTGGGGACCGCGTGACAGAAGGATTCCAATAGGTCATCCAGTCCACGTCTCTTGTGGCTTGAGAGACTGTCAGGTGAGTCCAGGGGGTCCCGAGGGCTAAGTGTCAGATCCTGAAGCCTCAAGCACTCAAGGGCCCTGGCTGGATGGCAGATTCAATTTATGCAAAGGGGGTGTCTTGCTGGGAGCACAGCCATCAGGGTTAGGGAGCAGCTGAGTTTAATGGTGTCCTCAAACAGATCATCCCTCGTCATTTTGAAATCAGGTCCTGGGGTGGTCATACTAATGGGAAGGTAAGAGGTTTAAGTCCACCCAGTGGTGGCTCAGAATCAAGGCCTGGGGCTCTGCTGTTGAGCCATCAGCCATCGGAAGCCGTATGGAGCCCAGTTCCCCTAACACATGTGGAGTCCCTCCCCGCGCACTGGAGTAGACTCGACGGCAACTGGGTGTTTGTTCTTCAGCTGGAAATGGAGAACATCACAAATCCCACCTCTTGGCTTGGCTTAAATATTCGTGCAGCGACACCCTTGCTCCTGAAAGTCATTTTTTTGTGAATTTGGGAAACTGCAGTTAGAGCCACATGCGTGTTTGATGTGCTATTATTGTTATATTGGTTCAAGTAACAACCACCCCCAAAAGTGTTTAGGATTTGAGATTCCCTTCCTTCATCTGCCCCATGGGAAACCGAACAGCAGTGGGACAAATATGTAAAGCCAGAACATTTACAGGAACACTGGTGGTGTAGGGGTCACACATTGGGCTGCTAACGGCAAGGTCAGCAGTTCAAAACCACCAGCCACTTACAGGAGAAAGATGGGGCTTCTACTGTAAAGAGTCCCAGTCTTAGACCCTCACAGGGGCAGGATGTGCTGCCCCATAGGGTCACCAGCAGGTGGCACCGACCCGATGGCAGTGAGTCTGAGTTTTCCTTTTTAGGCCATTTCTATTTTTCTCTTTACCCATCAAGGGCCAGTCCTTTGCTGCCTGACCTCTGCAAACATTTAAGGCATTAAATTACTTTTCTTAGTTCAGAATTTTATTTTATTTTTTCTAATTCCTGGAGAAGCTGTGTGCCAGCATCCTTGCCATCTATCTTATGACAGAGTCATGGCAGGTAAACTTTTTTTATATCTAGCTAAGATGTGAGAGAGTAATTTCCAGAAAGTGACAAGGAGCGAGAGGGAGACACTTAAGAGACCCCAGCTGGCCTTTCCTGGCTCAGTCTCTCTTTTTATTTTATGTTTTCCTTCGAGTAGTTTGTGTGAAAAATTTATACAGCAGATGAGGTTCCCTTGTAACAATTTCTGGACCTGTTGTCGTCTTATTCGTCTTCTCTGTGGGCAGATGGGCATTCTCCCATCGCAGACAGCGTGGCACCTCCAGACGGGCTTGGCAAGGTTCTTTCGGATGATAAATGGGACACTGTTCCTCTTCGAGTTGTCATTCCTGGCATCGTTCAAATCATGTGATTGATTCAAAATGCCCAGTACCAGTCCATTCCGGCCAAGGCCAAGGCTATGGATGCATGTTGTCCAGTGACATTGGGTACGTCCGCCATCCGGTGTCACACATTCCCAGTCTTGGCCTGTGGGCCTTCCCCTTCCTGCCCCCGTCCCCACCCAGACCTGCTCTTCTTTGCTTGAGGGTAAGTCTTGCTATGTCTTGACCTTTTGGTTTTATAAAGATGATTTTTTGTTTTAAGGAGCACAGTGCTCAGGGTTAATATAATTTATTTCATAATGTGCTATTTTAGCTGAAAGGTGACCTTGAAGAATGGTTTCAGTTCAAAGTTTAAAAGGTGTCTCAGGGCAATTGTCTTGGGGGTTGCTCTAGTCCAGCAAGTGTGGGCTTTCATTTTTAAGACATTGCTCATTGTTCAGTGCACTATTTGTGTTTAGCTTAGGAATGGCTATGAAACAGAAATTTGCGGGGGTG